AGTCCCAGCCAATGCTTGCGAATAATCAACAGCCTCCAGGAAAGTCATTCCAGGTGTTACTCCAAATCCAGGACTTCTCAGAAAATGACACCCTTACCTAGATCTAGGTACAAATGTAAGCAATGGCTTTCACCATGTGCTTCACCATCAATGCTAAGGATTTCACCTGACACCCCCTTTGCTTGTTCCTGAGCAAAATTCAAAACATTATTTGGAGTCACTGTTACATTTTCTCAAAACCCATACCTAGCTGTATAATGATGACTTCAGGATGTGTCCTCCCAGGTGGAGTAACATAAACCACCAGCATTTACTAGTAGCATAGTGAACCTAGGGTCATCTGACACATCCTTCCCTGGGATCTGTATGGTTCTTCTAGCAACACGTCACAGGCATGTGTCTCGGCTTGAGTTGTATTTTTACCTCTGCATACATAAAGTGCCCACTGTGCTCTGTTCATATTGTAGCCTGGTATGCAATTTTTATCTTCAGCTTCCTACAGTGTCCTTTGGGAGTCTGGAAGTGAGTGCAAATCAAGAAAGCAGTTTCTATTCTGTCTCAGGGCTCAAATTAACATGTCATAGCACCAATTAGGGTTGCACCCACAAGAAATAGGTTGTGGCCAAACTGCTCAGTCTAAGAGAAAAAAAAGTCATTGCCTCTAAAGCTTTGCCTGTGGCTTCAGCACTGCTATGAAAGGGTCAGTGAGGTGGAAAGGCAGGGCTGTCACATGAGTGACATGCTAACATTTCTTACTTAAAATCACCAGTCCTTAACCCTCCTGTGACAGCCTAAGGAGTAGCGGCAGGTTAAACCCAAGCTGCTAAGACAACTGCTCAGTGGTGTGGGCTCAAACTAAACTCATCCAATGTTCACGTTCTCATGTCCTTCCTAACTCCCTGGAACTCCTGTTTTCTCACCATCTACCTGTTTTCTGCATCTGAAACTCTCTCTGACTCACAAACACCTGCTTGCTGCTCAAGTGCCATTCTTAAGCAGCTGCCAGCAGAAGCAGCTGCAGTTTCACTTCCAGCAAACTCTTTCCCACCAGAGCAGTGTCCCCAAGGCATGCCCAGAGGCTGCTGGTGGGGCTGAGGGGGGAGGGAAGGGCGGCGGGGCCGCGGGAGGTGCCGGGAGGGCGCTATGGTAATGAGCGACAGGGAAGGGGCGGCCCCGAGCCGGGGGGAGCGGCCAAAAATCGCCGGTGCTGCCCCGGGGAGGATGGAGAGGGCTTTGCCGGGCCCGGGCTGCCCTCCCTGCCCCGGCAGCGCTAAAGCGAAGGCACCGCCCAACGGCTTGAAAAAAGATTTAAACTCTTAAGTGCGCTAAGAGCCTGACAGTCGGTTGAGACCCACGACATTGGCCAAAAAGGGAGCCCAGGGGTGACGGGGCTGGCACCGCGCAAGCAGGACCCGCTCCTCCCCCTGATCTCCAAATGACACGCTGCTGTATCCAGGCTCGGGCTCAGCTGGGCTTTGAAATGACTGTAAGAGGCCAGAAAGATGAATTAAAAATTCCTGCAATGTTTTGAACTAATTAGCAAGAGCTATTTGGAGAAGGCGTTTGAAAAGGTGTCCAAATGATTAGAAAGAGCCCCTTGTGTGTCAAATAGGTGAGCATCCAGCACAGGCTGCTACCGTGCAGCAGTCTGCACCCCTCCTTTTATTTGATCTTTAGAAAAATAAGACTTCTTTGGGGAAAAAAACAAAACAAAACAAAACAACAAACAAGAACTTAAGTCATCACAAGCAGCCACCCCTGCCCACTTAGGAAGGATGATCTGCTGGATCAGCTGCAAAATGCTGGAAGAATCCCTCCCGCTTCCAGAGGCGCTGAGGGGCGGGAGCAGCGGGTGCAGTTCCGCAGACGGGCTGTGCTGACCCGCTCCTCCGAAGGTGGTGCCCCCAGCCCAGCAGCCCGGCTCCCCCCGGGCGTTGCCAGGCTGCAGCGCGCCAGCTCTGCCCGCTGGCAGGAACCACCCGCAGCACAGCGGGAACGGGCCGGGCGACCCTCAGACCCAGCCCAGGAAGGAGCCGGTGAGCTGCACGGCCAGTACGAGCCTTTGGTGGCAACGAATTGGATCCTGAAGTGGCTCAAGGTGACTGACTGTGCCCTAGGAGAGGTCCAGCCAGCTCAAAGCAACAACTGCCCTCTCATTTTTCACCCATGCCTCCTCTGAAAGCTGAACAGAGATCACTTGTCCCATGCTGGCCTCTTGGGTTTTGTCTGGCCACACTAACTGCAGCGCAACGGACCCTGTTTTCATTATTTCTCCATCCTTGTCTTTTCCACATTTACCTCCCAAACCTTTTTCCCATCATCCCAAATGTGTTTAACTATGAACATCAGGACTGCCCAGCAGGTCCATGTCTCTGGGATGGAGTGTGGGTACCAAAGAAAGAGTGCCAGAACAGGGCCAAGGTGTCAGCCCAGCCTTCCCCCATAGCCTCCAGCGATTCACATCTCAGGGGATTCCTGAGCTAGAAGAAATGTCTTTTAACAGCCCTCAGTGGATTTTTCTTCCACGATTTGTTTAGTCATACAGCCTAAAACCTGTTAGTATCAGTGAAAATGCATGTTTTTATAAGGACAAGCATCTACAGTGCATTTTATCAAAGCTATTAGCCACGTTTGTATCAGATGAAATCTGATTTCATTCCTTCATGTTTCCTTGAGGGCAACGATGAAGCTCTTGCAGTTTTCAATTTGACATTACCAGGTGTCAGGCACTCGTGGTTTTGATTTGGGTTTGGGGTTGGGTTTTGGTTTTTTTTTTTCCTTCTTTGAAACATGGGAATTGTAGTCTTTGTGCTTAGGTCTTAATTTCTTCACGAACTACATTTCCCAGAAGACTCCTCCTCTGGCAGGCCAGCCCTTTCCTTTCGCGGCCGGGCACGGCAGCATTATGAAAGGTAAGTTTTCAGGCATTACTGACCGTATCACTCTTATTTGGTTAGATGTGTTCGGTTCGGCTGTTACCACTCCACCCACCACCATTATTGCAGCAAAAGAGACTCGGGTGATGTGGCTGTCCCTCTGAATTTCTGGCCTGTAACCGTCTGTGGAAACCTTCTGCCTTGAACTTGTCCGATCTCTTTCTGTGGAACATTTTGGATGCGTGTTAAAAACAGTCTCTAGCCTCAGATCTCGGTAGGTATGTTTAAAGAGTTTCACTTATTATGTATCATAGTTATTTTTTAATCTGAGCACTTTAATTTTAAAAGCAGCTTTGCACTCACAGGAAATACTCTGTCCTTTGTAATCCTACACTTCACAGCAGCTCTCAAAATGTATCTGTTATTTTTGCTGCTGGCCTACCCCTTGCCTTCTCTCATTCTTGTGGGCCAACCCATGTTATATCTCCATTTCGTTCCCCCTCAGAACATTTCCTTCCAAGAGATATTCTGATGATAAGGGACAGGAATGGAGAATTTTCATCAGTTAAAGCAATTTAAATACTGTCAGACTGACTGACCAGCCTTTGGGGACCATCATGACAAAAGTTATTCTCAAAGCAAATTACAGTTTATTGGGAGACTGTCCTTTCTAATGAATTCATATGGAAAATTAAAACCTCTTCGGAGGGAATGCCCAACACAACTCCTGCTAAACAACAAATGAAGGCAAAAATTATTGCAAACAGAATCCACTGCTTAGACTTAAAAAGTAATTCAGATTACAGAAGAAGTCCAGTCATCCCTATAGTTCAACTGATGATGCACAGCCTTGAGAACTGGAGATTAACTGAGACAAATCATGACTGATTTGTCACTTTGCCAGTAGCATCAATTGAGTATCACGATAATTAGAGCCAAACACCCAGCCTTTAACTGTATTTAAATATTGCTCCATTCACTGTAAGAACTGGTTCTTGTGGGGGACTGGGGACTTGAGGCAAAGCAATTTAGACCACCCAGGCACTGAAGCACAGGTCATCAAAAGCATGTGGGTGCCAACCTTTAAGACAAGCTCATCACCTGAGCACCCTGACTTCCTCGGAGCTGCCACAGTTCTCACAGACACTGTAAGTTTCCTGTAGGCAGCATTTGTGGAACTGCCTACGTGCTTTAACCATCTGACAGCCAGCAAGCTGCACAGAGCCCTCCTTCAAACCCCTGCCTGTAACACCTGAAAGGGACCTGCTCCAGCTGGCTGAGAACTCCCAATGAGACCCAGTCCCTTAGGTGTCCTCCCAGTAATTTGTAATGGTGAGGGCAGAAGTGGAAGTGGGCATGAATCTGCATCCAGGTACCTCATGTTACTGAACAAGCTTTAAACACCAGACTAGCTGGGGTCTGTTGCAATTGCTCTCTAGAGATCTTTTATTAGTTATTGAAGTCCTTCCTCCATCTTCCAGATCTCTCATACAAGCCCCCTTGCTAGGGAGATGGCAGGAGTCAATTCTCAGTATTGTTTAATTCAAAACTTCTTGTACTTTGTATGCAAAACCATACAGAGGCCCAGAAAAGAAGGGTTTTAAAATAGTAGAATGGAGAAAGGAGAACTGAATACTGCTAGAAAGACCAAACAAAATGTCTAAACCAATGCACTCCTGTAACAACAGGTCCCACACACAATTCCAGTCAACAAAGCCACCCCTGCCTGTCCCCAATAGGGCGTTCCGTTCCTCCCTGAAAGCAGGATATCCCTCCCATTCCCACATGCCAGGCAGCTGTTTCTGCCCCACACCCGTTTGGGTGATCTCTCAGCAAAGGCCCCTGTTTCTGCTAGAGAAGCAAAGCAGTACCCCTCCACCTCTCCACTGACTCTGGGGAGGTGGCACCCACAAAGGAGGAGGTGCCAGAGGCATTTAGGTAGTGTCCTGATCATCTTCAGTCCCATTTCAAGGCCTGTTCTGCACCAGGCCTTTATAAAAAACCAAAAATTTAAAAAAAAACCAAAACCCGGGAGTAACTCCATTCAAGGTCTTTGTCCTGAAAAAGCACCATTTCAGAGTTTTCTCTCTCTCTTCTCACAACATGTGCAAAGGATGGGGTAAACAGAAAGGACTGATTTGGAGCAGGCAAGATTTTAAAGCAGGCAGATCAAGGGTCTCTTCTGGGGAAGAGCCAGCCCAGCAGTGACTGGGGTGGGGTGCTTGTCCTTCCGGCCATTTCTTCTCTGCTCTGTTGCACATACCTGGGAAAAACTTTCCATGCTCAGGTCTTTCTGGGCTCTGTACAAGTCCTCTTAGGCAGCCATCCTTTACACCAGGATAGAAGAGAAGGAATCCTGCAAGTCAGGGCTGCTAACTTTGTCCTTGTACCTCGAGCAGTCCTCAGTGTTGCCCTCTGTCAAAGGGATGTACAAATGCTGTCCTCAGACCACGGGCTTTAGTTAACGTTTCCAAAATAATTTGGGTTTCTTTATTAAAAAGAAAAGAGAGCAAAGAATACTTACAAGCATCATTTTTCAGAGAATCCCAAGAAAATGGAATTAAGCATGTGCTCTTTGCTTTCTTTTACATGCCCTGTGTTCTGTTTTTGGCTTTTAGCTGAACATGTTCTCTGCCATGAGGTTGCATGGAGTTTGCAGAGCCATGAGATTCCGTCATTTCAGATCCCGTTCTGTATCCAGCACCTCTCCAAACTTGACATTCGTGCCAGCCTGTCTTCCCCCACATCCCATGGAAGTAGAGGAGCTGCAGCGCTTTGTTTCTAACTCCAAGAGGCTGTTTGTGATGACTGGAGCTGGAATCTCGACGGAATCGGGGATCCCAGATTACCGCTCTGAGGGTGTTGGGCTCTACGCTAGGACAGACAGACAGCCCATCCAACACGCTGAATTCGTTCGTAGTGCCGCTGCCCGGCAGAGGTACTGGGCAAGGAACTTTGTAGGCTGGCCCCAGTTCTCCTCCCACCAGCCAAACACAGCACACCTGGTACTAAGAGACTGGGAGAAGCTGGGGAAGCTGCACTGGCTGGTGACACAGAATGTGGATGCCCTTCACACCAAAGCCGGGAGCCAGCGCCTGACAGAACTGCACGGCTGCACACACAGGTACTACTCTCTGTTGCCAGGGGGAGGATGGTTGATCCTCTGGTCTCTCTCTGAGGGTGACTGACAAGGAGGTGCAGTGTTAGCTGCTGAGAAAGGAGGTGAAATGTCAATTCCTGGAGATGATGTGCTCTGGGTGGTGGTGTTGGGCTGGGGTGGAGAAAAATATCTCAGAACAGACAGCACTATTCACAGCACAGTATTTAAGAAACATAAACACCACTCCATTTCTTTTGAGCATTATTTGGATTATTTCCCTTGGAGCCTGCATCAGTCAGAATTTCCCCTCTCCTCGCTACAGCAGATGTCCTCTCAGTGAAGAGGACAAGTCGATCCTGAGGGTGCAAGGATTATCCAGGGGTAGGCAGAGTGGATAGTGCCAGAGATGCACAGGATGAGTGGACTGGAGAAGGGCCACCACAGCGTCGCTGTGATCACCCAAGATTTCCAGATTAAAAAGCACAGCCTGAACTGGGAGAGAGGGTTCAAAGCTCTTTCTCTAGAGCATTCCTGTAAAGCAACAATCAGAGGTAGGAAGACAGCTCCTTGACCTGTACTGTTTGGTAAATAAATGTGGATAAAGACAACAGACCTTACAGGCCTTCTAAGAAACAAGTTACAGAGTCCAGATCTTCAGCTGACATAAAATTCTCCATTAAGACTTTGCTCTGAATTTCAGGGTTTTCTGCCTGGCTTGTGGAGACCAAATCTTACGCTCTGAGCTTCAGGAGCACTTTGAAGCTCTGAATCCTACCTGGAAAGCTGAAGCGTTCGGTGTGGCTCCGGATGGGGATGTCTTCCTGACGGACGAGCAAGTGCATAATTTCCAAGTCCCAGCCTGCCGTAAATGTGGTGGAATCCTGAAGCCTGACGTGACATTCTTTGGAGACACGGTGAGCCGGGAAAAAGTGAATTTTGTGCACGAACGCCTGGCGGAATCAGACTCCATGCTGGTGGCAGGATCCTCTATGCAGGTAAGTACGTCTTCCTCACACTGAGTTCCTATTTCTGTGCTACTCTGCCTGCAACAATCCTTGGTTCACAATTTAGGAATACTAATTGCTCATGGATCAAAACAGTCTCTCCAGAGCCTCTTTGTATTTTATTTTTACTGTGGTTGGAATCTGGCATCACGGTTGGCCTGTTTGGGCATCCCTGTCACTCTGTTGCCAGTCTACTTCATGCTGCTATAAATAACTCCATTCAGACCTCTCTGCTACCTCCTCCATCAGTACACTGTAGGTTCACAATTGCCCATAAAGCCAAGATACCAAATACAATTCAGTTCTGCAGAGGTTACCACCCCACATTTCTTCGCTTGAATTTTTTAGCCTTTGGCAGCTTTCTAGGCCTCATGGCATGCTGTGTGAAATACCAGATTTTATTACCTCTAATTCCTAATTAAATTCTCAATAAGAGAGCAGAAATATCTCTGCTTGCTGCTTAGGATTGTCCTTTGTATCATAATGTGTTTTCTCCATTAGCCTCTTATCTAAAAAGTCGTGTAGAAACCCCTGTTGGTTAACCCATGGAAGCTTTTGGAATAGAGTTTATAGAAGAGAAATTTGCCACAAACAAGTTCTATTACATTAAAAAAACCCTACTCTTAACGCCTCCCAGAATGAAATAAAACCAAGGCTGCCTGATTGTGATTCTCTTGGCTTCAGGATACTGGAGACAAATTCCTTGAGCTTGCACTTATTAAGCTGATAATCCTTTGTACAGAAATGATTGAAATGCCTTAGGTTCATTCTTGTAGTACCTAAGCTGGGCCATGTGAGAACCATCAAAGTAAAAGCATTTAAGTGCCTATGATAGCTAATAAAAACTGCTGCAGAGATTTACTAGAAGACAAGGGCATTTCCCTTCAATGTACTATGAAGTTTCAGTTTCTATGAAACTGCAAATCCTTCACTGACAGAGGTTAAAAGCTCTTCTTTACTGTGCACTCCTGAATGAAGAACTTCCTACCTGAATTCAGTGCAGTTGCCTAACACAGCATGTACACACAGCCCATTTTCCCATTGCCAACAGCAACTATTTTACTTTCCTTACTCCTTTCTGTAGCTCTTTTGCCTAAGCTGCCTGTAATTTTGTCTTCTGGTATTCCTGTAGGTATACTCTGGTTACAGGTTTGCTCTCGCTGCCCGGGAGAAGCAGCTGCCAATTGCAGTCCTTAACATTGGGCCCACAAGGGTAGATCACTTTGCATCCTTAAAACTGAATTCCCGCTGCGGTGAGCTGCTGCCTTTGATTGTTGCATGTGACCCAACAAGCTGAGCTTCAGTAGCACTCAGGAATAAAATTATTTCTACAGGGTGAGTACCCTTCCTGGTCAGTCACCTTACACGGTAAGAAGATGGGTTCCCATCAAATACTGAGACTGAGATGTGCTGAGCAAAAAATACATTCTGATAATGTGCACCAAAATGTGGCTGTAAATCTTCATCTGTAACTGGTGTGCTCCAATGGGCCGTCATACTGTTTCCCATGATCATAAACAAAAAGCATATTAAGTGCTAACACTCCCATAAAATTGGGCAAGAGCAGTCAGAAGACTCGGCAGTGTTGAGTTCCAATGCATTTGTCACAATCCAAAAACCACAGGGCATCATCTGCAGATTCAGAGAACCTGATTGACACTGTTACTTGTGCACCTGACCGTTCAAAAGCTGTGCCTTGTTTAATTGATCCAGCTAATCCTAATCAAAACACTGCTGTTAAAACAATCAATTCCATCTATAAAGCAGCTTCTTCCCTCCACTCCTGCAGGACTCATCATTTCAAAAGGGGAAAACCTCAGTCTCCGAGACAGCTGTGAGATCAGTGCATGGCCCCTGATGACACCAGGAGAGGGCAGCAAACCTCGCACATGTCAGCCTGGCCAGTTTTCTCCATTGAAACCATCTCCACTTACCAGGAAACAGGATGATGATGAAAAAAGTACTTTTCTGCCTTACCTTGTCATTGTAAACGGTGCCTTGTCTTTTCATTCACTGAGACAGGATAATCAGACTACCATATCTGAGAACAAAATACCTTTCTTATAATAGTCCCCAGAGAAGAATGAGGGACAGGGATTTTGGCTGAGTAACGGCTATAGCGCAGGAAGGCACTGTGGAAAACCAAGTATCTGCTGGAGGATCCAAAACCACTAGTGGGCAACTGTGGAGTGTGCAAAGAGGAAAAGGAGGCAAGAGGAACTGCAGTTGTCATTTTTTAAGGAAAAAAAAAAAGATTCAAAATAGAAGCTGACAAGAATACTGCTCTTGTAAGAGATTATTTGAAAGCATAGACTATAAGGCTGACATCTTCCAGCAAGGAGGAGAAGTCAGCATTTCTCTCAACTGTCAGTTGACAAGTTAAACAGCTTACTATCTGAACCCTTTAAAAATAATATATTGTTGAAATGCCAGAGGAGTTACTTTAAGCTAATCTGACCAGCACTGCTTTCAGTGTGGCTGCTACATTTTCCAGAATGCATTTTTTGAAAATGTTATATAATTAATGAATAGCTAAGTAGTGAATTAAAATTGTTTACAAGATTGATACTATTTGCATTATAATTTCCTCTCCCTCCTATGATTTATTTTAAGTACAGTCTCAACAGCCAGTTTAGATTCATTTTCTCCATTGCAAAAATGCAGGATGTAATTACTAACAGCTGATGAATTAAGAGAGAAATACAATTAAATCTGTACAATAGGTCTCCCTCAGGAGGTAATCTCAAACTATTAATAGATGTAATTTTCCACACTCCTAACAGGAGATCCATCACTACTGGGTAACCATTTTTTGTTGATCCTTAGGGTGGTAACATAAGCCATATTAAACTATTTATGGAGTAAAAGACAGAATCTTGCCCAGACTAAAACACTAAATTTTTGACCCAACCTTCTGCATGAATCTACCACTCCCCTTCTGGCTGTGAGGGAGATTAATTGTTGGGGTCTTCCAAATGCCCCAGTCCTACTCTCCCCATAAGACATCCTGTATTAGTATTTTGACAAGAACTGTCACACGCGGTTAGCAAGGATGCCAGAGTCACCTGCTAAATGGTCAAATATCAAAGCAAGGACAACAGACCACATGCTGCAAAGTTCTTGTTTGCTTTGTTGCTGATTCAAATCCATGCCAGGCAGGAGCAAGTAAACCACAGAATTTAAGGGATACTTAGGCACCCAATTTCTGCAGAAGGTAGAGGAAATTAAAGATACTTAATGCATTTCAAGATGTGGCTGTTATGGGTCAGAGGTGACATGGCTTCACTTAGAAGCCAAGCGAGGTAAGTTCAGGACCCCTACCTGCATTCTGCTCTCATTTAATAGAGATCCCACTTTCCAGCAAGTTAGGGATCTGCTGTTTGGTAGTGAAGAAAGCTCACAGATGTCACTCATCCTTAGCATCGTACAGCTGTCCTGCTAATCAAAGCTTTTACAGAGTCTCCACACAGCCAGAGTGTTTCTTTGCATAGGTTTTTCTGTGTAAGAAGAGACATTTATGCCTCCTTAGCAGAGGAACTGGGGCTGGGTTTCTCACTTGTATGTGTCATTTTCTGCACCACCTTGAAACTTGTATGACATAGGTAACAGAGGTTGCAGGTTTAGTGCCAGTAGAGCCAGCATTTCGAGAAGGTGGGGAGCATTGCCAAGAAGTCTAAAACAAGAAAACATTTCCAGTGAGGACTTGGCATTAGCAATGTGACAGATAACTAACCTCCCACATCTATCCCTGCCTCTTCTCCTGTTCAGCAGCTGAGCCTGTGAGAGACGAGTCAGGGTGTCTCTTCAGTATTACTAATAAATAAGCCATGTTACCCTGACCCTCCACCACTGATTATACTTTTAAGTCACTAGGACAACGACTTACAGTAAATTTCCTGTGCGTGGTTTATTACTATAGGTTAAAGAACATATACACAAGAAGTATATGAGGCTGAAGACAAAGGAGTTCCTTTTTTTTTTTTTTTCTTTTCTGCTAAGCTGATCCAGCACTACTAAAACTGACCTTTTACAGCAGGCTCTGAGCACTTCACTTCTTAACATGCTCCCCAAGATATCGTTGAGAAGTAAGTTTACTCAACTGAGAAATGTCAGAGAAAGCCTAAAGTTCCTACACCAAAATCCAGATCTGCATCACTCTGATGCTGATTGACACCTTCCTCTGTCATTCCTTGGGGCCTGTTTGTGTGGGAAGATGCAATGCAGAGAGATAACACCTATCAGAAGATAACTATGTCATTGCAGGTAGCTAGCAAAGACCTGTCCTGAGAAGTTCCATGTTTCTCAGCTTGCTGATGTAGTTACCAGCCTGGAGGGAGTTACAGAAACCTCCAGGGTTGAGCGCTACAGGATGCAAATTAGCCACGCTGTGGGAAAAGAACAAACTCACTAGAAGAACTGCCCAAGCTTTATTCTCGCAGCCTTTGCAGAATTTGCAAGGGAAGGAAAAGGGAGAGAAATATTGTTTGTAAAAGACAAAACAGTATGAGGTAATCCTTGTGTTACTGGCTGAAACTAACAGAAAAATAGCGTCACAGAGCCTGAGCAGTGTTCTCTTCCTCCACCACCAAGAAGGAAACACACATACTTTCTATCTACCTTGTCTGCTTTAAGCCAGCCATATCCTCCACCTGATTCAATCCTCTTCTACCTTTTCTGGCTCACTGTTATGAGTCCACCAGCACTGTAGGTCAGGGATTGAAGTTGTAGCTCTGCCCACCTATGGGTGGCAAAAGTATACATCAGACAACAGCACAAGGCAGCTTTCTACCATGAAATTGGCTGAATCAACAGCTTATCCTCTTCCATTTTTCTTGCAGCTGTTCCTACTAGGACAAGCTCCTGAGGTTTGAATAGAGGAGCTGGGAGTGCCTTGTAATGGATTTTTCTGCTGCTCCACTGAAAGTGGCATTGAAGTTAGCCAAAGCAAATAGAAGCTACTTCCTATTTGGCAAATCTTGTCTTTGTTTCTGGGCAAATTCTCAGAGCAAACTTTGTAATCGAGTCCTGCAACCTGAGAAAGATACTTCACATACTGTGCTCCAGTGAGGGCTGCAGATGGCCTGGAGGGCTTGTGCCTGGTGGGTATGGTGTAAGTGCAGCCTCCCACATCTCACAGTCAGATGGTGCCTACTGACAAACATACTTATTCATGAGTTCTGGAAAAGGATGTAAGACCCTGGGCATGGTGAACTTGGGAAGTTCAGGAATCTTGGAGTGAAGGTGACTAAATCTACCTATTACAGTGTGCTTCACCCCCTGTGACTGCCTTGGGTGTCGCCCTTTCCCAGTCTGCATCTGTGAGGAGGGAAAAAGAAGTATTTAAAACCAGTGCCAACTTACTGGTTCCCTCAGTCAGTTCATTTAAAACCTGGGGCTTGGGCAGGACAGATGGAGTCTTCCTCTCACATAACCTGTCCCAGGGCAGCCCCAGGTAAACAGCAACTGAAAGCAACAGTCCTAGGAGGCTGTCTAGAGTCAGTGGGAAAGGAATGAGGAGGGTCGGGTCTCAGGCAAATGCCTGAAGTCAGAGTTCTATATTGTGTCTCTGCAGGGTTTTTGAGATCTGAATTAACTTGGCCTTAGCAATGGTGTTTTTAGATTACAGAAAAGATAATAGTGGTGAGAGAGTAAATTTACTATAGAGGACTTTGCTGCTCCAGTCCTACTGGTCTAGCCATTTTCATCACTGATAGATACTGTGAAAATACCTTTCAGATGCCAGATTCCTCCTGGATGATGCTGTCTTTCTGCAGGAATGGGAAATTCTGGTACATGGGCTGTTACACAGCTTTGATTTCTGTGGTTGGCGCCTTGAGAAGAAGAGATGGATGATTCCTTTGATACACCAAAAAGGAGCCCATCAATACTTTTCCTCCTGTCCTATCAGTTCTGTGAGCTTTTCTGACTGCAAGGGTCCCCAGCAGGGGTTGCACAGCCAAGTGCTCTGTGAGTCATATGCCCAAGTCCTGATAGATACAGGAAAACATGCAGGGGACACAAATGGACAGTAAGAAATTCATATCCACTCACCCTGACAGGACAATTAGGCAGGCAGGTAACAATTACAAAGGCTAAAAATAAGAGGGGTGTGGAAGGAAAAAGCCTTTTGTGTTAGAGGGCCTTATGATACAGAGCTGTGACTTTTACACACTACAGGCAAGCGGTTTTGAGGGAATGACTGAAGTGCTGCTTGCCCTTGCCGAGACCCAGAAAACATATGCAGCTTCAGCATATGCAAATCAGAAATGGTGCCTTTTTGCTAATAAAAGAGGATTTCTGGTGCATTCTGCTATTCCTTTATCAGAAGGCTCTTGCAAAAAAAAGAAACTTAGAGATTTAGACACACGCTGCATCCAGATTTCCAGTGTGATCCCACATCTTCACACTGGCAAGGGCCAAGGAGAAGAAAATCCAACTGGACTCTTAACTCTAAAGACTGACTATACGCAACAAGTCAGTCTGTGCCCTGGAGTTCATAGTCTGACACAAACTGCTGCTGGTGGGAGGGCGGCAGTGCTTGGCTTCTCACTCAAGCAGGTGGCATATGACAAAAATCAGATTACACCCTCCTCTGTTTAGCACGTGGCAAGACAGAACTTAATTGGGTTGAACAGTTGACTCCTGTGTCTGTGCACAGAACTGACCATGGCTGCAGCGAGGCTCCTCGTCTCTCTGTGCACCTACTACTTCTACAACAAAGCAGCTGTGCCTGCAGGTGAGGAAAGCCAGAGGACCCTCAGGAAATGGAGGCTATCACACACTGTGGGATTAAGGCTACCTTCTCACTGCCATGGGCGCCTGGGGGAAACAGCACTGGAGCTGAGACAAGAAGCAAATGCTTTTTGATGAGCTTTCATGGCTTAGCATGAAGGGGAATAATAACCTCCATTTATTGCATTGCATGCAGCCAAATGGGTTGAAGACAATTCCCAAAGCTCTGCCAGATTTATGGTGATTGGCCCTTTCAGTCAGAGGGAAATTTGGAGCTGTGAAGAGCTGATCAAAGAGAAAAGCTTGTGTTAAAGGGTATGATGAAACATGGAGCTTGTGGCTCATGAAAACCACCCCAAAAAATTCCAGGAAATAAGTTTTAGAGATGCACTGCAAAATGGAAGATAAAATCAGATGTCTTGCAAAGCAAGTGAGTATGTTTCTCCTACAGAAATATGCAGTTGCAGCAAGTGGCTTCTGCTCAGGTGGTGGTAGAAAAAGAGGGACATAAAATACTGCATGCAGCAGCAAAACAGTTGATCTGGGGTAATACCTTCTAAAAAAGACCCCAGAACGCCTGCCACCTTTCTGGCACTTTCCCTGAGGTCCTTCTGCAATTTACACTTGCAGTTCCCATGGCGAGAAGCATTTGGGAGCAGCAAGACAGGCAGAAGGGCATTTCAGAAAGGTGTGGGCTGAACCACTCTTCCCGCCAGCACCCTCCTGTGACCAGACCCGGGTAACACTGCAGGGCCTGCCCCTCTCAAGCCTGGCCTACTGCACTTAACTCTCTGCTGAAGTAGTCTACTAAATACTCTTAGGCTGTTACCAAACCCACAATACCACTACTTTGCAGTTACAAAAACAAGACAGTGCTTGCATGCACCATTTAGCAGATGAATCATCTCAACCACTTTAGAGGGAAGGAGCTGTAGCTACCCATAACAGACAGAGAAGTCCTTGCCCTCCTTTTATAGCACATACTATTGGGATGCAGAAGTGGAGTCAGCAGTAGTTGTCCTACTGGTCACTGCAGCAACACAACTGCTTGGGGTATTGGGGAAGGGAGCAGAAGTTCCTCTCAGCAGCCTTTTACCCACGTCCCCCATGCAGATACAGTGCAAGGGAAGTATGTGCTAGTCACAGGCTAAAGCACAGGGAACAAATGGCCTACAAATTCACCTCATCCTCACTGCCAAGAGACAACAGCAGTTCAAGGAGGCAAGGATGCACGACAGAGCAATTAAATCAAAGGAACGTTTAGGTTCTTTCTAAGGAGAAGTATGCAGTTCAGCTCAATGGGACACAGACAGCCAAACATCTCTGCATTTGCTCAGCAAGCCCTCACATCTAGGAAGTCAGGTCCAAGACCTATCCTTGTACACATATTGCAAGCCATCACCTCTGCTCCCTCACTTGTAATATTCTCCATCTATATTCAGTTCTCTTCACATTACCTTGAAAACTCTTCTCCCGTCTATTAATCTAGGATAAATTGCATGCTCTCCTCTTGTACTACAAGTAACTGCTGTAAAAACAGCCACAGCAGAAACATATTTGTATGCGTGGTATTGAACATGCTCTTTTCTCTCCAGGTGGCAAAACTGTCTCTGGAGGCAAGTTCTGCCAGGCATGTTTTAGTAGACATGAGCAGTCCAGAAAGTTAATGAAAATGCCAGAGACAAGCTGGGTGAAGTTTTTGTATTCCAGTCCTCAATAAACAGCCACTGGTGTGTCAACATTTCCATGGAAAAAAAGTATTCTGAACCTTGGCTGGATCTCCATACTGCCTCTGTCTTTCCAAGGACCACTCTCCACAAGAAAACAGGGTAAGAGGGGGTGACCTAAGAGACATATATGGGTCCCCATTCCTATGTCAACAGCAAGAACCACAGCATCCCACCAGTAGGCCCAGCCACACAGACCCAACGCATGGCAGAGTTTGTGGAGCACTCTCTAATAGCTGGTTATTTGAGTGGCTGGCTGTGCTGGATTTCTGCACAGGACCAGACTTCTCCATGTCTCACGGGGTTGGCTATTCCCAAACTACAGCTTGGTGTGCTACAGAAGATTTTTGGTGTTGTGCACACAGTGTAAGTAACGCGGGTCCTCGCATTGGGGCACACGAGTGGTGTGCAAGGAGCTGCAGGGACCTTCAACAGTCTGCAGAGAGGAGAGAGAAGCAGGAAAAAGCAGCTCTGCAACTGGGCCTTG